TTTTGGGCCTCCCCTCAAGGCCTTTTGTCATTTGATATTAACCCTTCCTGCCTTGTTCTTGTTGCAGCAAAGTGTGTTACAGCTCAGTGTTACAGCTCAGTGTTATACCTCAGTTGTGACAGCAACCTGGATCCAGGCGAGAGACCAAGCAGCACTACGGGGGATGGAGAACTCAGGTTTATTATGCCAGCGGGCCCAGAGGAGTTAACACTCCAAGCTCTAGACCCCATCTATAGGTTTACATAGCCTTTTATAGGCTACCAGTCTAGACTTTGCAACATTTTGTAACATCGTATGCAAATAAGGTATAATAAAGGTGACTGATTAGGAACAAGCTTTATAGAAATGGACCAATCAGGAGTTAGCTCAGGGAACCAATAGACCCTTAGGGGTAAGTTCCACTTTCCTAGAAGTAAGCCGTTTCAGAGTTTAAAAAGTGAGATAATGCCACTGGGCCAGGGAAGCGGATGGTGACCGCAGGAGAGTAGTGGCCCTGCCTGGGCGTCCTGCCAGTCTTTTTTCATGGGACTTCCTACCTCACTCTCACTGGTCTCCTATGGATGAATAAAACTTGCTACAACCGAGTTAAATCACCTTCTTTGCTGACTTCTGGCACAGTTTCCCACGTCCGGTCTTGACTCACTCACAAGGAATGCCCTTCCTGCCCAGCTTGGTCCAAGTAGGTTCTTCCTTGATCATCAGCCTGCCAGGTTCTCACTCTCTCCTGAGTCCTAGTAATACATTTATTTTCCCTAAAGTAAACTTGCATCCCTTTGTGACATCTCTTCTAGCATTATGCTGAACTCTTTTCAGTCTTACTAGGACATTTAGCTCTGTTTGTTTTTCTCAACCAGATCATAAAACAGTTTGACAAAGTGGATACCAGCACAGACTCTCAAGCCTTGTGCTCGGTTGGGTTTGAATCCTCGCTTCATCTCTTATGAGCGCCATGACCTGGACAAGTCACTTCATTTTACTGGGCCTCAGTTTCCTCTTCTGGAAAATAGAGGTAACAATAGTATCTAGGTAATAGAAAAGAACAAATCTGACCTCATATTAGATCTGTTTCTTTTGCTTTAGCCCTGTGCCCTGTTTTATAGGCTTAGTCTTGCCAGCTCTTCACCTTTTACAAAAGAATGTTGCCTTTAGCCTGAAAAATACAGAAGAGCCTATTCTCAAAGCTCTAACCTTTAAGGATATTAACACTTTTGCACTTATATAAACATAACAAGTTGCAAAACGGAAAATAACATTTGTTTTGTTGGAAGTTTACAGGGGCACCATGATCTGACCCACATGAACAGCTACAAGAACAAAGAATTCCTACAGCCAGAAGTTTGCAACAACCAACCACAACCCTTCCCCTTTTTAGTATAAAAGGAGCCTGAATTCTGACTTGAGTAAGATGTTTCTCTAGGACATTAGTCTGCCGTCTTCTCAGTCTACTGGCTTTCCGAAGAAAGTCACTGTTCCTTGCCCTAACACCTCATCTCCCGATTTACTGGCCTGTCATGCGGCGAGCAGAACGAGTTTGGACTCGGTAACATCTATCTTACAGTGAGATAATTCAAAATACTTGACATAATGCTTGGTGTTCACTTTACACCAATTACATATTAGCTGCCATGGCAGTTATTATTTTAGTGTAAGAATTATGTTTCGTATTTCTGTATATCTCCCACAGCTCTTAGTAAAGATTGTTTTACTAGGGAACAATGAGTAAAGATTTGTATATTTGTTCATTATTTTGTTAAGGAGACTGCCTTTATATTACAAAGTGGTAAATCTTAGGAATTTATTAATACTCTACAATGTAGCAACACTATATTGTGTGTTGTATGTACATTTTTTTATTTTTTACTAAATATTCACAATACATCTTTTTTCCTACACAGCTTTATAC